CCTGGGAGCTTGGTAGTTGCTATGCGCAGCGAGACCTCTCCCCCCGCCACCATTTGCTTGACGTGAAAAACATGCAAGAGGTTCGATTCATCAATGAATCCGCCGACGAAGAAGACTCTATCTAGGCCTTTGCCATGCTTGACAACAAGCTTGATCCTTGAATGCTCTGCCTTCAAGGGCGTTCTCAGTGCCAAGAGCGGCGCAGTCCGCATGCTTGGCAAAGGCACTTGCCAGCAACACCTCAGATATGATGGGACATCAGTGAATACCTGGGACTGTGCCAAAGACTCTGAGACACGGCCGACTGCTGCGTCACCTGATCCAGCAGTGTCACCATACCGCTGAGATCGCTCAGCTTAGCAGGCTGAAGGCCCCTGGCCATCTGCAATAGAGATCTTGCTAAATCATGCTCAGAACACCTTGGCTCCGTCACCCAAGGCGAGCACATGAGGCGCATGTCAGCCATCGGATTGCAGAGCTAAGGCTCAGTCGGACCTCCCGACTCACTCAGCCTTGCCATCTCAAGTCTCAAACCATCTCACAAAGGCCAGGGCAATTCATTTTATCGACTGGCCCAGCATGTCTATCTCGGACAAGCAAATCTGACTGCACAAGCTGCTTGCATTCAGTTGCCCAGCGCTGGACAGGTATCTAACACGGGGACGGCATGAGTACTTCAATGGCATCATATGGCATCGCTCTCTAAGCCTTGAGAGCTCTAGCGCCCGCTGCCCGAGATGCCCGAGGCTTCCACCTGCCAAAGTTCGAGGCGGTCAAGCCGCCGGCCTCCAAGGCGTCTTAGCACGCCATGACAGTTGCTATGACAGTTGCTCATGTACTTCGGCCGCTGGCTAATCCGAGTGAGGCTGAGCCATCATCACCATAGATGTCACGGACCTGCAGTTAGTGGACTCTCACTCTGGTTGTAGCAGGGCTTCTGTGGCCTCACACATGTTCCGGATCGCAGGCAACCGGGGACAGGGCTAGAATGTCAGCCTTCGATGCATCACCGCGCTCGGCAAGTTGAAGCGCCTGCCGCGGCGAGTCGCTCGAACAGGCCAATTAATCAGTAAGCTCTTCGAGACCGCCTCCTCAAAGGAATCTGCAGAGGTCAATGTCCGTGCGAGCCCTCACAATTGAACTCTTGACAGCAAGGTAATGGTACACCACAAACGCCAGTCAGTCGATCAAGCTGAGACTGCTTCCAAGAAAGGTGGCTCCCCCACAGGCTGTACCGCCAACGCGCGCGTAGTCCTTGCTTCTGATGTTGCGTTCATCGATTGTTTACGTTGCCATACAACAAGCGAACATGGTAACATCGACCACTTGAGCACTAGCTCTCGGCCTAGCTTCTGTTCAGACTGCAAGACGTTCTCAGTCAGTGACATTGCTCTTGGCGGAGTTTACTTTCAGGATGGAAACTCCTGAGCACGACTGCTGCAGGTGTCTCCACAAAACACGACTTCACGACATAGGATGGCAGTCCTGAACCCATATTCACCAAGATAAGAGGAAACAGAACGGACGGCCATGGCAGCGAGGCCGACCTTGAAGCAGACACCAACAGGGCAAGAAGCCAATGGCTTGCCAAACAGCAACCTGCCATGCTCATTGATGGTGAAAAGGTCTGTAGAACACATCCTCGGCCGTGAGAACAGAAAGAATGCCATGGGCCAAAGGCATCTCATCAACCTGAAAGATCCGCGCTCGGTGCCCACACCATGTTCAAGCCTGGCCTGTAATGCGGAGACAGGAAAACACACTTGCATGCATCCATGAGTCTGGGGTGCGGACTGAGGCACCAATGTCTGCTAGCAGAAGGAGGCCATCAACCACAGCAGAGAGCTCCTGGCATGTATCCCTAGACCTTCAACATGCACTTGGAAGCCAGGGCTGTGAAAGCTTTCCTTTCTTTGCCAGACTCCGCACGGTCAAAGGCAACGCCATACTCATTGAGATGCTATTCCCTCCAATATCTCAAAGGGCAGAAAGAGGGTACACACTCAAAGCCTTGCACAAGAAGCAATCAATGACTCGTGCGCACGAGCATGAAGTTCTGTAGAACTTCCAGCTAGACATGCTAGGGGAGAGACGATGCATCAAAGAACTCTCCTTGACCTGCTCAATCTCAACATGAAGGGAGTTGCGGAAGAGCGGTGCGAACTGGATGACAGGCGCGATGAGGGCATCATGCATTAGGGACCCACAAGTGGTGATGCAATTGAGCTGCTTGAGCTGCGGTATGCTACGGTGGCAGGCCTTGCATGCTCCACCACCTGCAGCAGCCACGCGTCGCACGCGAGGATGCCCTGGGCACCAAGCGTTGCATCTTGGATGCTAGCAACCTTCTAGTACTGAAGTGTCAGTCTCTTGTTTCAAGGCGCCGACGGCTTTGGCTAATGGGCACCTCGACATTTTCAAGAGCACCTTGGTCGAAGGCCCTAGATCTGTTGTGTTCACCCCATCCCGGCTGTGAAGCAGACTGGCATCAGCCCATGAAGGGCTCGATGGACAGGGGTCACTGGAGGCCTCAAACGCCCCTTCCACCCTTCATGGCTCTGAAAACATCCCTGTTTGATCCTGCCTTCCATCGCCCAGACCTCGGGGACCTGGCACAGAGTCACATGAATTCAGATGAGACTATCACTTGCCATGGAATTCTGAAGGGCCTTGTCGTCTGAAGTTGCTCCGCGCTGTCTTGCATGGAAAATGCCCAAGTCCTGGTCCTCGACCAACAGTCTTCCAGCACAGCATGCAGAACACAGGCTTTAGGAATCTTCAGGGATCCCTCACATGATTCTACATGCTAGCACTGCAGCCCAACTCCTCCGCAAGCCAAAGTGTTGAACAGCCTGTTCCATCCTGCCACAGCAGCGACATTTACACCAGAACTGATACAGAGCAGAGCCTGCAATGCTAAGAGCAAGCATCGGCATGTTTGCCAAGTTGTATCCAGCTCGACATAAACGCGACTCCAAACTCCGAACGCGTGACAGCAGTGCTGGCTTGTGGCTCCACTGACAAAGCGAACCACAAACCTTAGGCGGGGAGTCACAGGGACGAATAGATCAGGCGGCTCCCGTGGCCGCAGCCCTAGTGTGAAGACTGAAGCTAAAGCTACAAAATCATCGTTTTGAGCCGCGAACAGCATGCCTGAAGAGCGCAATCTCATCTCAAGGTGATGATGCGTACGACCAGACCTGCCGCGTCTCGATTCACAGAAAAATAATCATTGATAGCTGGGGCGTCGGGGGGCAGATGCTTTGCGGAGTCACAGGGTTAGCGGAGTTCGGGACGTTTGCCGGTCCGTATCAGATTATCAGGGATTCAGGAGATCAAGCATGCAGAGCCGGAGAAGCGTTAGCAAACGTTCTGCAGCGGACATGCAGAACCCTGCAGCTGGGAAAGAAAGCCGCGATTTAGAATGACTCGGCCGCAACTTGCTGCGGTGAACTTTTGCTTGTAGGAACTCATGAAACCCAAGGGCGCTGCTCGCCAAAATGCCTCAGTTCGGTTGAACTGCTCGCTCGCTGCAATTCGCTGCAGATTGAGGAACACAGGTTCATGCAGACAGCTCGCTCACTGAAAGGGCAACTGCACAACATTTGACATCCTCGAAAAGCTCGGCTTTGCGCGATGGAAAGTTGTAGCCGCTTGCCACCTCATGCTTCATCAGAAAATCAGCGCTAAGGCACGAAAGCCCGGGCTTGCTTCCAAAGAGCCGAGACGGGAAGGGCAATGGCCATCTTTACCAGGGAGCCACCTTAACATCAAGACAGGCTGGCGTTAGCAACCTCACAAACCATCCTCAGCTCCATACCGATGTCTGCACCCATGTGCCCAGGGGATTGCCGTATTCGCTGAAGAACTTCAAGAACAGACGGACCTTGTAGAAATATTGCTGCATCTCCGGCACAGCAAAATCAAGATGTTGCGCACCAATCCAAGCAAATTCTACCAAAGCTAGCAGCTGCTGGCATACATGCGAAGCGTGGCTTCAAATCCCCTAATCACATTGTGCAGCTTCGCTCCTTGGCGAAGAAGAGGGGAGGGTCTTTGCCAATTTACGGTTTCAGCTCGCATTCTCCTGCGTTCCTCGTCATGTGTCGGTCCTCTTGCTTTCTTCAATGCGTGGCCAGATTCATCCTGAGTCTGTTACAAGGTGTTGGCTAGAGCTTACAGCGCTTGTGGCACTGCACATACTGGGATATGCTCGAGCCGCATGGAGAGTGAGAAAATCTGACGAATGAGGCGCTCTGCCTAAAGGGACCATCAATGCATCAAGCGAGGCAGCATGCTGGGGGTCTGACAAACACATGCCACCTCCCTTTGCGCATCCTTCAATTTGAGATCGATCCACAGGTTTTCTAGGAAAAAGCGGTCCAGCCGGTCAAAACTCGAGCTTCAAACAAATGAATGGCGACAAGGCCTTCCAGATTTTTTGACGTCGGCTTGGAGACGGAGAATTCCCTGCCATGGAAGGTGTGGCAGTGACGCTTCAGCAGATTGACGGCGGAAACTGCATCCTCCTACATGACTGCATAAAACCTGCCATGAGCAGCCACGCTTTTGCCTGCATCATACGCGGCATTCAGGGCCACCAACATGCTGCTGCGCAAGCCTGTCAGGACATGTCAGGACTCCACTGTCAAGATCTGCTCGCATCCGAAGTCCGAAGGCGGGCTGCGTGTTTGATGAGTTTGCATGCAGCAACTTCAAGCCGCACGATGGGATGATCCACAAGCCATTGAACTCATCCGTTGCTACGGAGATTTCAAGCCTGGAGCCCTTACCGGACGCACCTGCAAAATTGCAGCTCTCTCCTAATGATTAATGCACTTCAGAACTCCGCTTCGTTTGCGCCTCCACGGAAGAAGCCTTGTATCTATGAAGCATGAACCACATGGACAAACCGACAAAGAGATGCCCCTGAGAGCTGTGGCCTCAAAACCTGCGCAGTGGCAAAGGATGGCAAAGGCCGCTGAAGATTGAGCACGTAACTAAGTAAATATTTCCACTGCATTACAGGCAGGTTCCCATAAACACGAACGAGAAACGCTCTTTGTAATCTCGCTGCACTTCTCTTGCAGGCATCTCATAATTTCCAGGTGCCCGCACTGCTCAGCAAAGTCTGCTGGCCCAAAACCATTCTGTGCAGTTTGACTCAAATCAGCCCCAGCCAGGCAAAGCAGACGGACGAGGTCTATGTGTCCCCGACTCGCCGCAACACAAAGAGGTGACAGGCCGTTGTGCATCGCTCGGTTCGGCTCAGCGTTACTGTTGCATAGGCTTTCTGCAACGCCCACGTGACCCTCACGGCAGGCCAGTAGCAAGGGCGTGACCCCGCCGCTCATGACCGCATCCCTATGTGCACCTTCGGCAAGGAGAAGATCTACCATGTCGAGCTGATTCTGATGGGCAGCAATGCATAGAGGCGTGGCACCATCGTGCCTTGGCTGGTCAATGTCTGCAGCAGCTCTGAGCAGGCAGCTCGCTATGCTCAGGTGGCCAGATTGAGATGCAAAGCACAGAGCAGTCATTCCATCTTTATCGTAGGCATCAACGTTTGCAGAGTGTTGGCATAGCGCGTCTAGCGTGTCAAAGTCACCAGTGCTTGCAGCCAGCAGCAGTTGAGTGTCCAAGGTTTGGCAGGTGCTGCGGCAACTGCGGCGGTTGGCACCGGCTGCGAGCAAGGCGAAGGCAACTTGTAAGTGCCCGCATCGCTCAGCGACATCCAAGGGAGTCTCGTGCACTCCGTCCCCTGCAAAGTCAGGGTCACAGTTGGCCTCGCACAAGCGCTGTGCGACCTCTGCATGGCCAGCCTCTGCGGCTAGCAAGAGAGGTGTTTTGCCCTTTGATTGTGCTGCGTGACAGTCCACGCGATGCACGCAGAGATGCTGCACAATATCAGCATGGCCTTGATGAGCAGCAATGGCAAGTGGCGTCACTCCATTCTGCATGGCCAAGTCCAAATCAGCTCCTGCTTCTATCAACACCTGTGCGGTGGTCGTATGACCATCTCGACACGCCAGTAACAGAGGTGTGACGCCCTGCCCTGCCGCAGCGTTGATATCAGCATGTGAAGCACATAAGCATTCGACAATGTCCGCATGGCCTTGCGCGGCCGCAATGCTGAGAGCTGTGGCGCCATCGACCCTTTGGCCAGGGTTGGGCCGGGGAAAATGTTTAAACGGTTTAAACAAACCCATGTTTAAACACAAAATGCTTGAACATGTTCACCCTGAACCTGCTCAGCGTTTAAACGGTTTAAACCGTTTAAATGTCTAAACGGTTAATTAAGCGGTTTGAACCGTTTAGAACACGAGAGCCAAGAGGAACCGTTTCAACCACGTGGACGAAAGATCTCCCAGAACCTCCCAGGGCCTCCCGGGCATCGCAGCGCCTCTCAGGGCCTTCATTGGGTGAGTCCTCTAAGCATACATTGCAATATGTGATGGATAGTGCTACGTTTAAACCGTTTGGACCTTTAAACTTGCACCATAGGCTCCGGTTAAGCGTTTAAACGGTTTAAACCTCGAGGACCGAGGATCTTCCAGGGCCTCCCAGGGCCTCCCGGGCCTCCCAGCGCGTTCAATGGGTGACTCCTCTAAGCATATGTGATGGATACTGCTACGTTTAAACCGTTTAAACCGTTTAGACGTTTAAACTTGCACCATGGGCTCCGTTTAAACGTTTAAACGGGTTAAACCGTTTAAACCACGAGGACCAAGATCTCCCAAGGCCTCCCAGGCCTCCCAGGCCTCCCAGGACCTCCCAGGGCCTCCCGGGCCTCCCAGCGCCTCTCAGGGCCTCCCACGGCCTTCATCGGGGTTCCTGAAGTGTTGCAAAATTCCAGTATATGGGGTATATGGATTGGTACAAAATTCTTCCACTCTCTGTTGTGCTGCCAATCTGACATCTTGGAAGTTCAAGTATCTACTGGTCCTGGCTACCATTGGCCTGCTCACGATATAATTCAGAATAGTAAGATACTCACGAGCGGTAAACCCAGACTGCGAAGCGCACAAAATTTGAAGATGAACCACAGAAACCTCTTTGCAAAGTCTTGAACCCAATAAACCCAAAAGCGCCCAATATACCCCATTAACTCAATATACCTCCATATACCCCCAATATAACCATACATTAGCGCCTCAAGACGGTGGATGTTGCAGCATCCCTTATGCTCGAAATCTTTAAACCCGTGCTACCCAGAAAATGTTTAAACTGTTTGAACCCGTGCTACCCAGAAAATGTTTAAGCGGTTTAAACGTATCCCACCAGGCAATTGTTTAAACATCGTTTGAACGATAATTCAACAAATGTTTAAACGGTTAAACCCACCAAAATGTTTAAATGTTTAAACCTAAACAGTGTTTGGAGCGACCCTGCCTTTGGCTATTTACGCTTGCTTTGTGGCTACACAATTGGCGAAGGACGTCAATGTGGCCTTCCTGGGCAGCGTGCATGACTGGGGTTGCACCGTTGGAGTTTCTTGTCTCCAGGTCGGCCTGCAATTCACATAGAAGCTGCACCGCTTCCAGTTGACCACCATAGGAAGCAAACAAAAGTGGCGCTGAGCCGTCTGGCCCTAAGGCTTCCAGATCTCCCCGGGCGTCGTACAGACAGCGCACCACCGAAGCATGGCCGCGGCAAGAGGCCACCATCAGCGCGGTCAGACCCGTTTCCTCGTCACGAAAGTCCAAGTCAGCTCCACTCCTTAAGGATCTTTTCACTTCATCCAAGTTACCATCAGATGCAGCTGATATCAGTCTTGGAGACCATGAAGCATCCGCTGGCAGCACCAGCAACATCAGCTCACAAGGATTCGGAGCCATGGACAGTGCCTCATCGTCATCCACACTGCCTCTTCCCAGAACTAACTCTTGCTGAAATGGGCGTATGCCCGTCCTCGCATGGATTCGCTGCTTCACCATCAGCATGGTGGATGTGGGATCCATGTCCGCAGACATTGCCACACATCCCGACAGATTGGTCACCACGACTCTGTGGTTTGACGCCATCGCTAGCCGGTACTGCTTGGATTATGTTGCCGACTTCACATTAGCGACTTTTAAAATGACCACATTTGAAAAATCCGGCCGCCGGAACACAACTATAACTATACCCGCAATGATACTACTTCCGGAAAGATAAACTAATTTGTCAGGGACAATGACTTCAATCAGATATAGTCAAATGGTCAGTGATTCTAAGTGTTTCTAAGTGTTGAAAAGAATTTCAAACCTGCATGGGCCTGCATGTTTGGCATTATCATTCCGGGAACCCCCAAAAGGGAGATAGATCAATCGAGGGGGGGTGTTAATGCGAAGACAACGTTAGGTGAAAGGAGCCTGCCTCATTTAAACCGGCATGCCAGCTCCTGACACGAAACACAATGCACTGTAGCAAAACATCCAAAGCGTCCTTAAGCGTCCAATGCCTGCAGCCATGCTGTCGGCACTGGGACAAATGATTCCACGCGACTCAGCCTAAGCTGGAGAGGGCAGGATGCATCTGGTCACATCCTCCCATGAGGTCGAGGCCAATTGCTGAAGCTCAGTAACATCCTCAAAGGAGAACAAGCCCGCAGCTTCAAACTCCCAAGGCATTCAGGCGATGGGATGCTATCCAGAGCATGGTCACCTCTTGCGATTCCTGTGGAAAACTAGAAATGCCTACCCGTACAAGCCAAAGCCTCAGAAAAATCGAGCAAAGCTATCAGAGTCCTTGTTTGCATACAATGCGGAGGAGTCTGCCTGTTGCAAGACATGGCTGACCTGGTGCAACATGACTACTCTGCCATTTCTTGCCTCAGTCTCAGCAACCTTCTCCGCCTCGTTGCTGATTCGCTGTCCCATTGCAAGCTACGCATGCATATCAAGCAGGCTAGCGGCTCGCAATAAACTTTGCATGAGCCCCCAAACCACTCCAATATCTGTTAGAAGGTCAGGCTGAAGATCCTAGCCACGATCAATCACATTACCTGTGTCTGCGTACTACATATGCAGAGCAGAACTTGAGCATGTGAGAACGGGCGGAACACTGCTCATGGATGCCCCGAGCGACCCGGACAAGGTCAGCATAACCCTTTGGTGGTAGAGAATGCCAAGCGCAAGAGCTGCTTCACACGTTGCACAGTTTTGAGCCTATCTTGTGCCTGCAAATACTGCAGTGCATAGTTGCAGCAGCCAGCGCATCGCGAAGGTGCTCATTCTCCGGACAGAATGCCCTTGGCCTGCGCTTTAGGATCTGCTATGGTTGTTGTCCTTCCGTCCAGCCTCTAATCCTACAGTTGATGGAACGTTGGCCCCCTGCAAGAGCGCACACATGCCTTTGCCTTGCCGAGAGCCTCCATTTCTTGAGATCTTGCTGTCTGACGCACCTCGTGAGTGCTGCATGACCGGCTCTGAACGAGGATCTGCACTTGCGTACGCGATTCCTCCACTGAAAGCATGCGTGGGACAGGCATGGATGCCTCAAAATTCTTAATGAAGAAATCGCACTCTTTGTGCAGGTTTTCTTTGCTCTTGGACCTCAAAGCAAACCAAATCAGGCCAGTCTCGCGACCATTGCATCGTGACCTTTAGTTGGGAAGGGCCAGTCATCTGACTCCCAAGAGCGCCACAGCTCCTCAAGCTCTTCCGTGGCCGACTCCTTTGTGGCCTCTGCCTGATCGAAACGGTGCGAAACCCCTTGCGATACCACAGGCATTCAAACACCTGAAGCACACAGCGCGCACTCACAGGCTCCTAGTTTTCTGCTTGCTTCCCCACTGATTTGCATGGTTCCGCGAACTCATGATGCCCAGATGCTGAGACCCCTGGTCATGAGGCATGATCTGTGCCATGTTGCATGAAAGTAATACAAGATGCTCTTTTTGTGGCAATAACAGTCTCGGCCAGCACGCGTCTCCCCCGGTGCTCAACTGTTGAAATCGTTGCAACTGCATGCAGCATGCAGCATGCCACTGCATGTGCTGATCTACGATGTGCTACGCGCTGTCAGACAGCGCACTACCGGAGGACTGCCGCGGTCTTCTCCGAAATCTTCTCCCTGAGGAGCATCAGTACATCATCAATCTCCTTGGACAACTCCTGAGGAATATGTAAGCCAAGCATGCCAAGGCATCAGAAAAATGCAAGAACATGCCAGATTGTGAGCAGAGTCCAGCTCATCCTCTGCCGGTCCATGCTGAGCCTGGACCACTGCCGGCGAGTTCAACTTCAACATTGAAACTCCAAGCCATGACAAGGCTAAAGATGACATTGAAGGAATCCTGAAAACAAAGAACCTGCTCTTCATGACCCTTTCTCATCACTTTCTCAGAGCCGCTTGTGTTGGGAGTCCATGCAAGTTTGCAAGCAAGGCAGCGGAGAGATTGATGAGTTATCGGAAATGTGTTGTGAGATCATGTCTTGCCTGCCTGTCGCCTGCAAAGCTCCCAGATCGGGATGCAGTGTCAAGCAGACAAGCTACAGCTAATTCCTCCTGCTACTGTACCCACATCGCTTACGAAGAAATCTAGTGGATGCAAGTTGCGACTCCAGAGATTGGCACCCGGTGACTAGCGGCCCTGTCGAAAGGAATGAGGATATTGTGATTGTGAGCTATGCCAGTGATGATGAACACTTACAGCAACAACATTCATGACGGCACTTCCTGCTGCGCACGCAATGCCACAGTTGGCATATTGGCAATGGCAATACGCACAGCAGTAACAGCCTCCAGCAGGTAACAGAAAGCCCTAAGGAGAAACAGAAAGAAAATCAGCAGCAGAAGCAAGAGGCAACATGCATGCGCGCAAACAGCAGAAAACTGCAGAAGGCACAACGATAAAGGCAGAGGTAAAACAAAAAATGTGTGTATATATATATATATAATAAGACATAATAAGACTTCCAAAGCAGGCCTCAAGCCAAGCTGGCAAAGCTTCCGGGTCCACCTCTAAGCAAGATCAACTGACCTTTCCTAGCTTCACTTGCACCCCACATCCTGTTCCTGCCTGCTTCAACATGGACTCTGCTTTGGAGCCTGGCATCGAATTACAAAGCCGAAAGGCTCAAAGCTGGCCTACCGATGAGATTCCCGCAACGACGAGGAATGAAGGAGGTAGAGTCAAATGCAGCAAGTGCTATTCAAAGGTCCAAAGCAAAGCATGACTCCCTGCACCAACCGAGGAGCAAACCTCTTTGAACTCTCCGCTCAATCAGGACGAGTTCGCGTTGCAGACGCCTGAGCTCCTCAGTCACGTAGCTGCGACGTAGCTTTACTCAAAACGCTGTGATCACGGCCTCTGCGATGGCCATAGGCTGGCTGGCTGCCTACAGTTCTTTGCTGAAACAAATACGGTTCAAAGCGAAGAAACAAGAGGGCCACCTTTGCTGCTCCCCAGGCTGTAGAACCCGATTCCAGGGAGTCAATCACGTCAAACATGCTGGGTGCCTTTGCCAACTTGCTGCTGCAGCAGCTCCGTCCTAGGCATGTCCCCTTTTTGAAGAAGTGACATAGCAGCCGTCCAGTCGAAGCGGTGCCCAGCTGAGGTTGGCCAGGCCTTTGCCGCAGCACGACTTGCCAGCTTTGCATTTTCACACTCCAAGGTCAGAGCCGTCTTCACAACGGTTCGAGTTCCTTTGCCTTCACAACCAAATTCACAAGAGACACAACTGCGTTGACCTATGTGGCAACAGCGCCCTGACCTGCTCGACAATGGGGAGCCAAGCCTTTTGCACAGCCCGGCGTCGGTTTGCGTCGTGGAAATGAGATCAATAATCCGCCGAGGCCGGAGGAGAGGCCGGAGGATGCCTCTGGGGCGTTTAGATCGAGATTTGGAGACTTGGAGAAAAAGTTAAACCTCCCATCCCTGGCCCTCCCAGCGGCAGGGGGGGGTGGGGGGACCAGCCTGGGGCGGAACCACTGACAAGGCTTGGCCGGGGTGGAGTCGGCGTCTACTCTGCGGCTCTCCTCTACCCTTGCCAAGACGGTCCCGCGTTAGCCATCGAATTGAACATAAAATTGCTGTCCGGCTTACAAGGGCAACCCATTCCACTACGGAACGATTGCACCTTAGCAGTTCCTGCTCAAGCACGAAGGATCACGAAGGTAAGATGCTATTTACCTCGCATCACGCTGCCCTTCTATGCGAGTAACATTGAGCAACACCAGCCCGCCACAGCGCCTCATTGGTCTCACACGACACTATGGAAGAACACAACCAAGACTACAAACACGCACGACACAAAGTCATGGGCTGAACACCTTCAAGCACTATCAGAAGGTCGATAGAGAACTGCAATTCATGTGTGAATATGATGCACAAAATAAATCCATGGCAAAAGGCACACTCTTGTCAAATTGTTCCAGGATTGATCATTATTACAGCAAGCCTCCAAGGGACTCATGCACCAGCCTGAGTTTCAGGCAGTGGCTCAGCTTCCTGCGTCCTTGCGAAATAGAAGAACTTGCACAAGTCACGTCACACTCGAGACATTGTCAGGAGGAAGAGTCATTGAGGCATTCATTGCAAGATGTCCTGCAGTGCAGCTCTTTCCAACTCGTCTTCCGGCAAGGTGACAACTGATCCTGCATTGCACACGTGCGTATCATGTACAAATAGGATCATGCACGCCATTAGCTGCTCAAGAAGTCACACGCAGCACGCTGCCGCATATCCTAGTGCGTACACGCAGATATGCGAAAAACATATGGACACCTGCATACTCTGCATTGCTGATTCCGTCGATAGTGAGAATCCCTGCCACCTTTCCAGTCGGGGAGTCTAACCGGAAGAGATACATCTTCAAATCACCACATTTCCCTCGTGCAAGCATTCTCAGCGCCAGTCGGTCACAATGACTAAGGCTCACATGCATAACCTAGGCGGCTGCCTCCTGCGAGCGTGAGACGCTCAAGCTGTTCAACTCGCAATTGCCGCCGTTGGCCTAAGACATCTGCGACAATGTCTGTATCCACTAGCTAACGTCTGCAACACAGCCACATGACCACCATGGCGTGCTCCATGTCCCCATCTCCGCGGAATGGGCTTCTCCAAATTCTCCAGACGCTCTTGAGAAGCCTGTAGCTTCCACCTTGACGATTCTGCTTGATGCAGCCGCAGAGCTTCGGCCAGCTCAAGACCACATGCGACAAATCAGATGCTGAAAACGGATATTTCACATGATCTCAATCAGCATTTGAGCTTGGGGCTTGGCGCTGCCGCGCGCCTGCAATCTCACAGTAAGAAAGGCACCGGACAAGCCCTGAGGAAAGGAAGCCTGCAACAAATCACCAAAGGATACCAAAGGTGCACCAAACAGTTGCTTGTGTGGTAAGACTTTAACTTGTAGCACTCCAGGTCCGGAGACTGGGAGAGTGAGTTAACATCCTTCAGATGTGGTCTGATCCGCGTGTTTTTTGTGCTGGTTTCAGGGGTGCGGGGCGGGGTGGCTGGGTGCCGCATGTTTGGCACAGGCTGGGGTAGGTCGGAAATGCACACTCCCCCCAGGCACTAAGCCGAAAACACAGATCTGGGGGGCGGGGAAGTGCAGGTCACGAAACTCGTTTGGTGAGCAAGTGAGGTCATGAAACTCGTTTGGTCTGAGCATGCAGCCCATGTATTGCAGTGGCGCGTTGCAGTTCACGACCGGCGTTTTTTCAGCTTCCTGCGCGACAGGGAACCTGCGGGGGGGGGGGGGGGGGGNNGTGAGACAAGCTGCGCTGAACCCGGCCACATGATTATTAGTTGTACCTGCATTACCTGGCATGTTCAAGAACAGGGGGATGGATTTGGAAGGGGGTTGGTTGGTCTGCAGCTCTCCTCTACCATTGCGGAGGCGGTCTCACGCTAGCCCAAATTGCTGCCTTGACTGGCAGTTGTGAGACAAGCTCGACAGAAGGGCCTTGGAGCTGCCTGCACTTCGGCATGCGAGGCGAGGACCAAACGAACCATGTCACAAAGCGAATCGCCTTGGAGATGTACTTTCTGAGCGGCTGGTCCTCTGCATGGCATCAGGCGGAGTTTGTACGGCAGCATCTGCCACGCGCCCGGCTGCATGAAGCCTAACAGCTTCAAGGATAGATAGCACAGCTGAGTTCAGATTGCTGGCACTTTGTCTCCTGCTTTGAGTGGGGTTCTATGCTCTGTTCTGCGCATAGATGCCTAAACTCTTGCCGACAGACTACTGAAAAGTGCGAGGTCTCTGGCGACACCTCAACCTTGTAAAGTGACTGTGTGACTGCGAGACGCTGCAAGGTCAACAGGGATCTGGGCTTTGTATAAAGGCAATCGAATCCAACTCTGGGCCACCATTGCGGCTTGTTATGACTTGGGGTCGCGCGTGGGAGGGGACCGCGCCCGGACAGGCGTCCACTGGCGCTTTGGCAAGGGACCACTGGCAGCGTCAGGTGTTTGAAGAGCTGATACCTTCTCAACTGCAAAACAGCTTCTTGCCAAACAGCTGAAACACTCTGCTAGCCTCCTGGATGGAGAGATACCGCTGCAGCAGCGATAACTGGGGAGGCTTCAACGAAAACATCCGCGTGCTGGCCGGCTGTCGAGTGCTGACACCGGCCTGATTCAGGAGCATTCAGGAGACACGCGCCAAGCACTCACGCTTGCTGACTGACGCCGTACTCAACATCTGCGAAGCTTAGCACGCTTTAGATTTACAGTTCTAAGTCTGTTCTCACCGTGCTGCATCTTCAAGACGGCGCGGCTCTGCATCTTGAAGAGCGTTGCAATGTCTGCATGTCTCTGTCTCCATTTCGCTTCCGACACTCTCCTTGCAATTTGGCAGTGTTGTTTGGCCTGACTACACGTCTGAGAAGCTAGGGCAGCGACCTGATGGCAAGTCTTTGCGGCCTGAAAGGTGGAACGGCGGAACGTAAATTCAGGAAAGATGTCGGAAACTTCCTTCCGATTTCCTGCCTTGCAGGCAATCTGCGCCTGCGTGGTCTGGCCTCACAATGTGCCAGAACAAGACAAGTCTGTCGGTACCAGAGAGTTCTCAAGGTCCACAGACGGCCTTCTCCGGCTTCAGCGGAGCGTGACTGGCAAGCAGAAATTGCTGTGCCCCCGGACTAGAGAGTTTTGTCTCTGACATGATACATCCTCGATCTCCACAAGAGGGTGCGGACAGATAGAAGCCTTTACAGTCAGTATCATCTGAAATCTAGTCTGGCACACTTATGGGGACCGCGTCCAGCATTTTTGGACATTTTTGTGCCTCATATTCTCCCGGACCAATTTCCTTGGGGTCCTTGCCCTCGCCCTGTCCGCCCGTACACTTGCCATTACCCTCAACTTGAAAGGTCGGAGGCAGCAGCACTACCTTCAATCCAGTCTTCTCCTGGTCCAGTGCGGATGCAAGATGAAGCTATGCTTGTAGGGGTAGCCCTTGCCGTCGCCAACCCTGCATCATTCAACCTTCGTTTTTGAACCGGCCTATCTGGCCCCACCCACCATAAAAGTGGCCTCCAATTGCATGCTTGGAAGCTGAAACGCTATCTCAAACTTTCAGGGCCCCAAGAGCACAGTGTTTTCTGTTACATAGCGGGGGAGGGTAAGGGGTACTTGAACTAACGACATGGAGAAACTGATCTCGAATCATCATAACACAATGTGTTTCTCACCTTCAGACTGTTGCATTACCCACGCGCACTGCGAATGTTTTTTGCATTTGTTCTCAGTGAGGGGTCTTGTGATAGTTGTGCAAGCCGGTTGAGAGCGTGTTAACCGCTTTTCGATGTGGAGCTCTGGACCCTATATTGCTGATGATGCTGCCCTCTTGTTAAGTTTCCAGGTGTCGGAGAAATGCGGACCCTTTCCATGGATTCCTGGGATACAATGGAGACCGAGTTGTACTGATGATGCCGGGTCTGGCCCGGTGGTTGAGTTTGGAGCTTTCGGAGCCAACTCCCTGCGGTAGAGCAGCCTGTGCCGCTAGACCTGAAATGAAGTACATGGGAACCGCGGTACAATCTCAGTCTGGAAACCTGGCAGCTTTTGAGCAAGTTCAGCGAGCGGGAAACACCTTGGTAGCTCGATCACAAGCACACATATGCGCACGCACTTCAGCCAAGCGGCGTCCAATTAGCTCTGCCTCCTTCTTTCTGGAACGGTCACGTTCTTGCTCCATGTCCTGCAGGCCCCGTAGCATTTTGACAATGCACCCCAGGCAACAATTTTTTGTTCGGACTGCCTGCATCCTGGAAGCTTGCTGGCCCAAGATCTGCTGAAGCTCCTCCTCATGATGGAAGACCACCAAGGTAACACAATCATGCACATGTGCCCTCATTCCTCTCCTTATCTTTCCGTTCTTGTGCCAAGACCTACAATAGCTCAGCGCTTGGAACGGCACACTCCAATGCATTGCCCGCTGCAGGAAAAGCCTTGATGAGATTTCCTATTCTCGCTTTGTCCTCCCGTGGGAGGCTCACTGCAACCAAAGCCGAGATATCTCACTTGGATTTGCTGGTTCTGCTTTGCGCCTCGGCAGAGAGCGCTCGAAGGCCACTGCCTCCAGACCTTATTATGGCTGCGCCTTGAAATGCGATCCTGCACAGGCCAACTGCCAACAAGATGCGCTTTCGCACTTGATAAGGTGACCGGCTCCACGGGCTGCGGCAGGCTTGGCAGTTGCCCCAACATGGCTTGATTGCTGGATGCCCAGGAGTGGCTCTAAGCCATTCGTCGGGCAGCCCGCCTCAGTTAAGTCACGTCCCAGGGAAGGGTTGCATGGGTAGCTATCACCACGCTCGTGCGTCCAAGTCAGAAGCTTGCCAGGTAGTAGTAGTCCATCGGCGACACCGCTAGGTCACGGGCAGCACATGCAAGAAACTGTTACGCATGCAGTGCTGACAGTAGAGTCCTGGCAGCGTTGTTGCTTTTTCCCATGCCTCCCTACTCTAATATCTTTGATACTCCACCACTTACGCATGCTGCTACACAAGGCCTGTCAGAGCAAGCCTTCAGCAATACATAGCTTAGCTTGCACGGCCAAATGCTGACCAACGCACGCAGCATATTCTCCACGCGGCTGGCTGAAAGACCAGTAGAACACGGTGTGCTAACAGTGTTAAAATTGCAATTAGTGCATCTTCCTGTATGGAAAAGTGGAAGATTGCATCATGCAAACTGGTCTAGAAGCACTTAGTGCTTGCGACCGCCCATGCCATGGAGGCTGTCCTTGGAGCATGCCACAGTGACTCCGCCTCCTTGCTCGAGGTAGCACATTTGGCCACCAGATTCAGAGCAAGGTCAGCTTGGCCGACAGTGGATTCTTGCATTCTTGCATGCATTTATTAGCATCAAGGACGAGCTTTTAATGTGCGCACGCAGCAGTTTTAGGGAGCTTTGGTTCGAAGACAGCCTCTCCTATCTGTGCAAATGATCAGAAAATTGAAACAATCTGATTCCCTGCATTTTGGACCAAGAACGTCATTGCGTGTCCTGGAGTTTGGGGGCTGCATTGCACACAAGAGGAGGCTCATCTACAGCGAAAGTGCTCAAGTGAGTCTTTACAAACATGTTCAGTAGGGTCGCCAGGCCTGAGGCTCTAGTCTCCTAATTTACCATTCCTTATCTGCACATATTGCACAAAGTTGATTCCTTACCTGCGTAGACATGGGTAGACCCCATATCCACGCACCCGCCTCTGCGCTTACTACACATTAATTGCTGGCATCTCCACGTATCCCCATTTCCCATCACGGTCAAGACTCCAGTCTTAATGATAGGTTGCCTCTCAAATAGCTTCAGGTTCAGCATCGTTCTCTCTGAATCTCTCTGTAATATTGTGCCTCATCATCCATCCAAGTACACCCATTCTTCTCATAAGCGCTTTCGGTCTGGCTGCGAGGGGTTGATGAATTAGTCTCCACTCCCTCCATTTCCTATATCATGGCTACTGCTTCCTTCATGTCAACATCCTTCCCGCTTCGTTGCAGCGATGAGGCCGCTTAGCTAGCATAATGTTGGATCGTGATTAGTTGCGGAAAAACCTCCCACGGCCAAACTTCGCACAATTCAAAACCCCCACACGAATCATGCTTCCAAATTCACGCAAATGGATACTTCATGAATTCATGTGTGCAGTGTTCTCGGTCTCAGTAGGGCAAATGTGGGATGTGCGCACGGGCATTGCATGGACGCATACAAGAATGGAAAGGGACGAGTACGTCTGTGTCATTAGGACCTGACCTGTCGCAAAAGGTTGTTAGCCTTGTAACAATCGTATATCCTATTTGGGAATCAGACGATCGACAACGACCATGGTCTCTGTACAAACCGCCTACCACATCACACATCCCCGTCCAGCGAAACCGGATGTGAAGGGCGACGCAGGCGAAGACAACTATAAGTAGAAAAAATCCACCGAAAAGGCCGATCTGCTCATGTCGCTACCACCCCTGGCTCTGGCTGCGCAGTCATCGCAGGCTTCAGGATCTCGGGGCACGCATCCGCTGCCGCAGCCTGCCTTGGCAAGAAACGACAACAGCTTGCTTAGAATGGCACGGGAGCACCATGGAGAACCTGAGTCGTGGACATGTCTAGATGCACCTTCAGCAACACTGAGTTCAACACTCAGACTTATGCACCAATGGCTTCTGGTGTGACTTGTTCCTGGCCACTTGCTCCAAATGATAGCTTCCAGCACCCCACACAAACCAAGGCATCCAGAACTAACGGATGTGCGATCCAAATACTAACGCGGGCCTGGTGTAACTCGTACAGGTTTGCATGGGAGAACTTGGCCACTTCCGACCTGAAATGGACAAGTGCAACAGGAAGCTCAGAAACACCCTGAGCCACAGAAACTAAGATGCACGCGTCAGCTTTGGCGCAGCAAGGTCACCCGCGGGCTGGGTTTGTCCGCCCTTGGAAGACTCTTGCCTCTCCTCCAAACACAGAGAGGGTACGAATGGGTTGTAGATACCTGCAACGAAGCCCATCCATCCTTCTCCGCTTCTTTCAGATCATTTGGGCACCAATAGAGGGTTCGGGCAGTGACTCCCACAGAATCCAGGATTCCTCTGAAGCGATGAGCACCTAAACAGACGCAGGGGCTTTTGCCATTGCATGCAGTTGGTCGGCACAGGCACAGGCGAGCATGCGGTGGCATGACTGCTCCCCAACGGAGGGAGCTTTGCTGAGCCCGGGACAATTAATCCAATAGTTCATGTCCTCATACATCCTGCATGATGAGTCTTGGCTACGATTGGCCTGGCTGGGTGCAGATGATGCAATTACCGCTCCTGTCAGGATCAAAGCTCTCACGGACGTGGATGAAATCCTTGAGGCCACTGAATTCGGAGGTGTCTTGCTCAGAGATCAGGAGCAGCCGCGCCTTCGGCCAACACAAAGGAACACATGGAAACAATCACTGGCATATATAACTCCTGTGACAGCAAGTTGGCTCTTTCGATGACTTAGCCGTCTCTGTTTCATGTTAGCACTTTTGAGGAGGTCTTGCAAGTCACAAATGTGGGCCTTTTTACCTATACGCTTAATGGCCGGACGTTCGTCAGAGCCTGCCCAGATTTGCTACGGAAGGGTATCAACATCTGCCGAAGCACAGCGAGTGAAGTCTGCAAGAGCGATGGTGCTTGATTGACGGATCAGCTGTGCTCATCCTGGTGCCGTAAAGTTCTATGCGCAGACACAGTGCCTCTAGACCGGGATATTTCTCCAGCATACGCGACCTTGCATGCTCTGCTGCAGACTTTACTACTGGTATCTCTACTGAAATGGAACACCCGTCTGCAAGCATGCAAATTCGCACAAGTGTTGCCAAGAACGGTTGCATCCTGCTGAAAGTTTCTGGGGCATCGACTGCAGGTTACATACTTCTCCGCGCGAAGCGACTCCAGTTCGCACGAACAGTACGTGATCTGCATTTTTGCAGGCCCAGTCGAAGCGAGCAGCTCTACCCGAATAGCGTTTCCTTGCCGCGAGAAGCCTCCTTCAATTGCTGATGCGGTGCTAGGTGCGGTCGAGACTCCTCATCCTCTCTATAATGGGCGCGAAGTTTCCGATCGGATCCTCCCCGTTCTCGTACTCAACTTCATGTGCAAAGGATAGGCCACTCCACTTGCGATGGAAGACTCGCCCAAGTTCACCATCATAGTATAATTGGTCGGGGTTCCACATATCTGAGAAGCCGGTCGCCACCATGTCCACAACATCACCAAGGCTAGTCGTTCCTCGTCAGCTGGCAACAAGCAGGACTGCCAACAGCACAACACAAACACACAGACTATTTTCAGCTCGTTGGAAACGCGCGCACACAATGATACACGGCAAGTGTGCACAATATCATCTCTTCACTGGGCCAGGGGCTCGTGAGGTCGAAGGGGTAGCAGGGACCATCGTACTCGATCTTGTGAAGGAGCATGCCTCGAAGAGTACCCGCATCAACAGCCTAAACCCTGTGTTTGCTGAGCCTTGCAGCTGCACTTGCTTGCAAGGTGCGTGTGGAGCAGCGGTCACCCAGAGGTAGCACCTGAGCCGCTTTGAGGCTCCGCTTGAAACGCTTTGAGGAATCGTGCGGTAGTGCGGTAAAGCTGTTTAAGCCGCCACCGAGGCTCGGCGACCTGTTTGATTGACTGCAGGTCCCCAACACGCTGGAGTTCCACGGCAGATCGTGCTGGGACTTTCACCCGGGACTGCAGGCCGTGACAGGAAATGATTGCTGTCCGAAAAGCCTGTCCTTGGGAGTCAGGGACAGATACAGCTTACAGAACAAGGCCGCAGTAGATCAATGGCCTGTCCTGAGACATCTTCATACACGCCGTGTTCCATTGTCTTGGTCGCTTGACGCACATCATACCACATTGGATGCACGTTGTACTCACCTAGGGCATGGTGAGCAGGCAATCCCAAAGCCATGACCGCACCAGACCTCACCTCTTCAGAGCAAGTCACTGGCTGCCTGGTTGAAGAGCTGCAGGCTTCCAGTTTCTGTCTTGACAACTTGGAGATTGTCATCCCGAAAAAGAACTTGGCTTGTAGGCGGCAGTCTCTCCAGACATCGGCCCAGGTGCCGAAGCCTTGCCTTGCGCAAACAATGCTGCCGTCCAAATGCTAAAAATGATTCTGAGTTGCTTGAACACTGCTCTCTTGCATAATCGGATAAGCCGCAACGCTGCGTGGAGGCAACTGGCCGATGGACTGAAGTGTACCAGACTCTCCTGTCAGGGCATCAGACACACAGGGGCTGGCAGTCGCGGCAGATCATGTGTAGCAATATGCTTTTTTCAAAGCCCCGTCCCAAATATATCGAGAATATTGCATTCTCGCTGCCATGGCTCAAGTAGAGGCCACGCTGCAGCGACCACGGCGCCTCCCTGCACGGCAAGGCTGACTCTCTGACAGTCCCCAACCTCTTCCCAAACACGCACATGCCACAGGCAAAACACGCGCCTGAAGGCTGCAGATAAGCCAGCTTGCATGTCTCCCCATCCTGGGTTCAACTCGTACCTGACAGACGACGGATTCCTGTTGCGCGCGCTTGTTTGAAGAGGGCGACATGTTCGGATAAGCTAATCCAGCATGGGAAGCGCCAAACTTCTGCCTGTAGTACCACAGGGGGTCGCATCACTGCCATGCTCCGCAGCAGCTGAGCAACTGAAGTCTTTTTGGCATGGCCCCCGTTGCCCAATCAACAACAGGTCCAGCAACAAATCAACAATGACAAGGCCCTGAAGGCCAAAGCCCTGGCTGTATATGAAAGCTTGCAGGCCCAAGTGAACCCCCCAATTCCCGTTCTCGGCTCGAGAAGGGATGTTTGGGGGTGGAGCTGCCCAATGACTTGAACCGAAGGCGTTGATAGCGGCGAAGTCGAGAGCAAGGCCAGCTGCCATCTGGAAGGTGGTCCAGGGAGGGCCACGGGGGTGCACGGCCCATCGGCGTGGCTTCAAGCCGTGGCTGCAACCGGGCCCCTCTGCTCATAGTCTCCCACAGTGTCTCTCATCGCCCCAACAGGAGGCGTGACGCGCCAGCAGCTCCGCGAGGGCCATAAAACCGAGAGGACCATGCACCATCCCACGTCGACGCCAACGCGCACCTTCATGGCAATGATCAATTGTCCAGCGTGGTTTTTGTAACCTCCCACAACGTTGTGGGACGTTGGGGGTCTAGGGGCGGATCCCGCATGCAGGCGGCAGACTTCCCGCGGAGTTCTCGGCCTCCCAATAACAGATAGCAGCCCTCCCAAAAACTCTCAAGGGCCTCCCCACACTTCAGACAAACCAGAATGGGTTCCAGGAGCCTCCGAGGGCGTTTCGGTGTCAGGTGAGGTGGGTTTTCACAGCATTGCCAACCCATGTGGGGAACTCAAAGGGTTTCCGAACTCGCTCGTCGAAGCTAGAATGATGCGGCTGAGAAAGCGTACACGGCAAGCAATGCAGGAGTGACGGAGGAGGTAGTAGCCTGAGTAGCCGGCCTGGGGATCAGGCAGCCCGCCGACGGCATCCAAAATCTGAAATTGCTCCTCGGCAACTGTCTGGCACAAGGGATCACAGAATATCACAGAAAGCATCGACACAGACGGGAATTTGAGGACCTCCAAGCTCCCATCACCGCTCACGCTACACCCAGCAGCCAAGAATACATCGAAATTGACTCGGCGACTGCTTGGCAACAACCTGCAGCTTAGAAAAGCTGAGGACGACCCGGGGATGACATCCAAAAAATGCCGCAGAGCCCTCAGCACCTGCCGAACTTGAGCTCCCTGCCAGTAGCCCGTTGTCAACGAAGCATGGGGGACGTCTCCAGCTGCGCCGCCGGGTCAATTACCGGCAGCAATACACAACAACTCCCAGCAACTCCAACAGCATCCGCTGAACCACCGCATATCATGCAGTCATGAGGGTGCTTGCTGGCCACTGGCTGTGGGGCCCAGAATGACGTCCCAAAAAGAACACCTTGGTCGGGAGGTCGGAAAATGTCGGAAAGATGAACTCCAGCCGTTGGAGTGAGAAATGGATGACGGTCGACGTGACTACATTGTGTGCGCGCCTGTTGCTGATCATAGGCCAAGCAGACGAAACGCGAGTCAAACCCTGAACTGCGCACAACCCTGGATGCACGAGCTGCAGCAACTCCCAAAACCAGTGAGTCCAGCAAGATACAGAGTGCACATGGGCACTCATACAAGGGCTAACCACATGACATCGGCAGCATACCCACCATGGGCGGGAGGGCTTTCAACAATGCCACAGTAGCAAGCAGGAAAAACATACAACAAGCGTAATGACAGAGGCGCACTGCGCCAACTCAAGAAACACATGCAAGCAAATGTATGCAAGCAAATGCAGGGATACCGCACACTCGGGTTCGTGGCACACGCTGGCCATAAGCCCACCTGCCCCTGCGCGGCCCTACGGAGACAAATTGTTGGCGCCATCGGCGCAGGAGATGAGGAATGACCTCCATGGCCGCGGAAACTCTGAGAAACTCTGACTGCCAGCTGGCGCGGGAGGTCGGCAAAGGCGCCTTGCCAACAAACCGCCTCAGCCCCTCACCTGTACAGAGCAGATCCCTTCCAAAGCGCCTGTTGGCCTCGGCCAAGGTGATGCCTCTGGCGTCCCCACTGAGCAGTTGTTGCAGGAAGTCCGCAAGCCGCTCGGGGCCTGGAGCTGGGGCAGCGCTGGGGCCGCCAAGGAGGTGGCCGCCTCAACCTGCGGCGTGGGTGCGGAAAAACGTGCCGCCTGCCCGTCGAACCGCGCTTCGAGAGATCAACAGCAAGCTGGGACTTGGTCACAGCATCACTCCTTCCTGCAGACTCCTGGCAGCAAGGAGCGTCGCTCACCCAGGCCATCCAGGCCCAACCGCTCCAATCGATTGCCCACGGGTTGCGATTGCGCCACCGTTTCGCCCTTCCTCCGGGACAGCAGCGAGTCACGATGAGGGGCCTTGAGATGTCATCCCAACTGGGCATGCTGGCCAGCACCGCAATGACATCCGAGTCTGCAGTGATCGCGGGCAATGTGGTCTGCAAAGGCTGCTGCAGAACCGGCACAGTGAAACGAGCGCTTAACAATCTGGCATCCTGCACGCCAACATGTCCTTTGTGCGCGCCACCAAATTTTGGCAGGGTGCTGGTCATCTGTGTTGTTCTCAACCTCGGCGTGAGCTGAGGAACTCTGAGAAACGTGTCCTGTTCAGCCTCTGACGGTTCTAACGTCATTGACATGCAACCAAGCATCTATCAATTCCTTCTGCTTGGCATGATAGCTGATCACCATGCCCCTGTTAAACAGGTGTTCAAAATTGTGGCGCTCAAGTGCTGCAGTAGCCCCGGAGGCCTGCCATCTTCGAAGCAAGTTCTGGCAACATCTTTCAGATCAGCTTCTCGCCTCTGCAGAAGCTCTTTGACCTGGCTGCTCAAGCTCCGTCATATCGCAGGCCGTCAAAAGTATGGGAAGCCCGGCCTTCTGCGGCTGAAAAATGCTGATATCGATCGCAGAGAACATCCTCTCATGGCCTGATGTGTTGGGGTGGATGGCGCTGTGTGCCAAGCCCTCTGCCCAAGTCCTGCACAAGCAGCATGCGTCAAAAACTCAAGTGATCTGAAAGCTCAAGGATAAGAGCAGAAATCCGCCGTCCCGAAATTGTCACCACCCCTGCTGATAACATGCAGCCAGTCGAGGACTGGAACGCCCATTCGCTTCATTTCGTTGTCCGCATCTCGGAGCAGCTTCGCCTGCTGCCAGTCACATCATCTCAAAGCCCAGATCCCACACTTCCACCACAAGCACCACCACAAGATCTGTCAGCTCGAAAACTTTGCCGCTTTGGACCAAGTGTCCTGCTGCTTTTCAAAGCCACTATTCGGAGTCAGGCCGGCAAACACAGGCATAATGCCCATGTCCCAAGCTTCAGCTGCCAGAGCTGCGAATGCCTCCCAACTGCACAACACATCGACATGAGTGTTGGCTTGTCTGGCACATCTGATGCTTCCAGGTTTGCCGAACTGGTCAGATTGAGTGAAGTGCAAGTCGTCGTGGGCAGGCCAGCCGGCCCAACTAAACGGTACAACAAACAGACCTTGCCCTTTGTCGCTTTTCCACGCTTCAGACTAATTATGCTGCAACATCCCAAGCAGGGTACAAGCAGTCACAAAACAGGTACGCAAAATTGCACAGTGCAGGTATGCACATCTTCAGAGAACGATCATTATGATCATAGTACGCCATTTCGCATCCTACGGCTATCGACTATGAGTTGAGCTGCACTGAGCGACAGATAGGACACTTGTTGCTCATATGGCCTTCATGGTGTTGTCGTAGATGGTCTGCCTGTCCCATTCCTGACAAGCAGTCTACACTGCATGTCTTCCAACTGCCGAACGCATATGAAAAACAGCCATGGCCAGTGGATGCGCAAGGCTCTGGACAGGTCGCGAGCCATCGCAGCTCCATGCTGAAAGCAAACACGACAACCTCCGGCTTTGAATGGGGCTGTAGGCTTTAACAAATGCAAAGGTTGGATGTGCTGGATTTCCGGGGAAGACACTGCTGTGAGACCGTGCTTTTGCTTCTTCACAGGACTCTTTGGAACACTAGCTTAAACGAATATGGGAGAAGAAGTTGTGTTGTAGGACATGCCAGAAACACAGTGACTTCTGATCTTTCTGCAGATCTCAAAAAGACAGACATTTACAATTATACACTCAATATCTTTCGAGGTATATTTCTGCATTACGTTCTACCGCATTCTGCGGAGAAAAAGAAGCTTCACAAGGATTTCAGGGCATACAAACAAAGGCATGAGTGCACGTTCCTGAAGCACACATTTGCTAAACAAAAAGTGCATCTCTGTATCGACTTTGTCGAACCCCTTGAAGAAACATACATTTCCGGAGCTGGTCTGCTTTCATGCTTGCGGGAGCTCTTTCAAGAATTCTCCTGAACTAGAACTCATGTGCCTAGCTAAGTGTTCTTCAAATTCTGATCCTACGAGCAATACAAAACATTGGTGCGCTTTATGCTGCCAATTAATGCGACTAGTATGCAAATCCTTTGTCCCCATAGCTGCATGTTCAACAGAATTTGTTCAGTAATGACTCGAGAGCCATAGGCCGGGACGAAAGCTCAATATGGACAGGAGTGGTGACACAGGATGTGAAGAGACAGACGATATACAACCAGAAGAGCACGCAGCCCAGCCCTCACTGCCCATGAGAACAACTGCAACCCTCCTACCGAAACCTTCCTACAAAAAGACCCTCCAAGAACCCGGCAAAGCCTCAAGATCCCCAAGACCCCCAAAGATCCCCCAAGATCACCCCAAAACCCCCTCCAAGAATCTAGCCCCAAAGGCCGCAAGCGACTTTTTTCATGAGGAGATAAGAGAGAAATCCACCGAATTTGAGGGAGATCTCCAGTTCCTTGCAGGAGTTTTTCTCATCTTCATAGAGATTCGGTATATCGAAGTTCCCTTCCTGCTTGACATACTGACAAGAATCGAACATGGTGGGCATGGTACGTGCCTGTCCCGACTCTGCAATGGAGATATCCCTTGACTTGTAAGAAGTGAAAGCGCCAGTTCCTATCATTTTTATATCGGACAATTTTTTACTAGTGCGCTGTTAGCGCTGCAGCCCATGGACGGACTGCTGGTCGTATTCCAGCTTTGGATATCACAAATAGTGTTGTCACTAAAGCTCCCCGGAAGGGAGCTTTAGTGAATACCTCGCAATGTGAGCCTGGGGTTCTAGTGGGAATTCTGCTTGGTTTTTTGAGCTAGCCTGCACCAGTGGCTCTATTTGCCCGCGTTGGCTCACTTCCCTCAAGTCAATGAGATTTCTCTTGTATCTTCACTGCGGGGAAAAGAGAGCTCTGTTTCATTCTGAGTCTTTTGACTATTCTTCTCGAAGTAGAGAACGAAGGTTTTGTTTGATTTCAATGACGTAATTTAGTGACTCTCATTTGCTCTTGGCTTAGTAGTGTACTTACGCTGGTTACCTGGCTACCCTATTCTGATAGCTTTGGAAAAGCAATTCTTCACAGGGGACGGGAAGAGCTAGAACATTCCTCCAACAGTCTAAAGTCTGCTGCTCTGGCTTGCACAGCAAATTCCTATGAGAACGGACCGAATCAAGCTCCTTATTGGGTACCACTAGGTTGGGAGACCATACCAGCAACGATCGAATGTGTGTCATGTTCCACGTTCAGATCAGAAGGACACTGTGGTTTACTTGAAGACTTCAGAAGCAGGAGTTGGTTCAATAGAAGTACGACATTGCAAAACAAAGGCGCAAGCGCGGACATTGACAACTTCGGCTCACACAGCAAAACCCGGGTTCAACACCGGAAGGGATTCTCGAAAGTGAAAAATAAAACAAAATGAGCTGAAAACGGACATTTTTCTAGACCAGTCTCGGTAAGGGCTTCGGCCAAAATTGCCGCCCCCTAGTCCAGGGATGACGATTGAACCCGCAAAAAGATATCCTCTCGGGCCCTGGCCCTGGCAATATTGGGCCAGATTTGTTGTTTGTTGGTTTGCGTTTTTGGCGTTGTTTGGTCGTGCTTTTGTTTTTTCCATCTTTTTCTAGGAAAAACTAGATCCCAAACACTCAATATGATACTTCACCTACCCTGCGTTCTAGAGAACAGGTAGCCATTTCTAATCGCGCCAGCCGGTCGGGCCGGCGAGTCGGGCCTGGGGGATGGGCTTGGGCAGCAAGTTGGAGAGGCCCTTCTTCAACGTCTCCTCACAACATGCTTGTAAGCATCTTCACGTCTGCATCTTCGTGGAATGCGTTTCACGCAAGCACTGCCTGGACACATGACCCAATCTCAGCGGCATTGCAGTAGCCATAGCCTGAGCTGCATCTGTTCGAATGTTGAGGTGTGGGAAGGCAAACCTGGCGCTCACTGCACTCACCGTGCACAAACAAACTCTCACGATGTTGCGGCGAAGAGACCATACTGCTGATTCAACAGTTTGCCCAGCTGTGCCGCCCAGCCGTTGTATCCTTTCGCTCCATGCCCCGCACCCGAATCGTCGCCAATCACTACGAGCCTTACAGTCACAGGCGACTCCCTGCTTGCCAGCATGCTGCTCCCTCATCTCAGACGGGCAACTGCATGCCGTTTCCATCAGGAAGATTGAAGCTAGAACCACGATCGACTTTTTCTGCAAGGGCCTGGCGCGCTGCATGAATGGTGCAGGAATCCACTGCGTCCCCCCTAGGCTGCCTTCGGATAGCAGAAGGCCTCATCCAATGCTCCGCCTTGGAAATCAACAAACTCTCACTTGAATGAAAGGTGCTTTTTGCGATCGAGTCTCCGAAGTCGCCGTCATCGACCACGGACGAAGTTGTGATAACATCCGGCGACACGCAACGGTTGTGGCCATCAAACTCCTAAGCCAGGCAGCAAAGTGAACTGTGCACTGGATGGGTAGGTTTTGGCCCAGAAGCCCAAACTGCCTCTCCGTCACCCTTCAGGCGCACCTTACAATTTGGTCTGACAGATTGATGCAAAAGGACAGGAGTGATGCAGGACGATTATGCAGGACGATTGGAAAGCCACACTTGCTAAGGCAAGTCTGCAGATGAGATTCATATTTGTACTCCAGCCCCTTCCCAAGTTCAATCGGCACAGACCTCCACAAAGGATAGTCCTGGAGCACTACAAGCAAGGAAGCCGAGCAAAATTTTGCTTGATATCGTCTAATTACAGTTTTGACTACCGTCGATGCGCGATTTGGAAAGGCCTTCTCTGTCGTTGTAAGCTCAATACTCCCATGCCACGGATTCCAGTTTCCTAACGCATCGCCACTTCCGACAAGCCTCAGCTGTAGTCGTTTATCTTAACTCACACAAAAGATCACAAAGGAGGCAGTTCCTACATCGTCCTACATCCGCCAGGAGACACGATCCGGTCCCCATAGCTCGTCTCAGCACGGACAGAGAATGTGATTTCGCAACCTGGCACCAATCACAGCCGGATTGTGCTTGACGATCGTTTAGCAGCTTCAGTTGCCAGACACACTCCACAAAGTTTGAACAACTGAAGGCATGTTTGCGAGCTATCAATCAACATGGATCCCGCCAATGGTCAAGTTCCCCACTTGACAGACAAAACACGTGACGAGAATCAGGACTGCTCAAGCTCACTGATCTTGATCTCCCATCCCCAGACACACATGACATGTAGCATTTGCTCACGGTGTTGACCCTAGAATTGCGATGCAGCTGGCTTTCATCTACAGCAGACATCCTGCTTCCTGCACCGCGCCACGTGGAAGAACTTTAAGTTTTCTGTTTGTCTGGCACTGCGAACCTCTTCCGGCCGGCGTCGCTTCCTCTTGAACGTGGTCCGATGGATCTGGCTTGCCTCTTACCTAGAGTGCTTGTTGGCGCAGGATTGGCAGACCTCGTCGGGCCTGATATTCTATGGCTCAACCAAAAACAACTGCAGCATTCCTGCTTGGGTCGGCTGCGATGCTTTCCACCTCTTTGCTCGGATTGCTAGCCGTCAGTAAATGGACCTGTCCTGGCCTTTCAGCGTCTTCTTGGTACTGTACCGCTCGTACACATAGCCCGAGGCTTCGAATTTATATCAATGACATGAGCCGGTACCGGTCGCACTGGCAGTTTCTTCAACCTGGGCTCTGCCCTACCTTAACCATCTTAACCTGCTTTTGCTTTGCGGCAGTGGCTCTGGCCCTAGTACACTCTTGTGCTTTCCTGCCCTCGCTTGGTACTGTTTTGGTGTGACAGGACACAACCTAGCCTTTGTATCCTGAAGCGAGCATGGCTGCAGGATTCAATGCACAAACCCGTTTCCAGCCTCCGCCGCCACCCATAAAGGTTCCGTTCCATGATGAAGATACTCAGATTAGATTCGGATACAACTGCTCAACTTGCATGTAATAAATGCCCGTCTGAGAGTCGACGCTGACAGCTCAAGGCTATGGACAAGCTAGGTAGGACACTTAAAATAACTGGCACATCATGCTGCAGGTTTTGAAGCACACGGTGTGGCAACTTGTGTGGTCCCACCTGGACTTTGGCCAGCTGTCATGTACCCTGCAGCGAGTCCACGCTGCTCCATGGCAGAAATCGTTACGCTTGAGCCCAAGCGTCGTTCATCTACATCAGCCTGCAACAGGCCTTTGACAGTAGTCACCTCGACAGCCTAGGCTGGCAACTAGCCTCCGCCTTGTCGGTGTTGGCATCTGCCTCGTGTCCGCAGTTTGCAATTTTTTGGGAGAGAACACAGCAAAGCTGTACTGAGCTACCTGAAGGCTTTACGACCTCGTGCACAATGAGCCCAGCTAGCCTCCCTCGCTTGCATTTTCAATTCTAAACCACAACGATACTTCCAACCCTGCAGCACACCTTGGAATGCAAAGTCATGCGTGAGATCCTGAAGCCTGTGGAAGGCTCAAGATACTCGACACCAGAAAGCAATTGTTTTTTTGGATATGCAACAGCTGCTGGTGCTTGCTTGGCTAGCCATCCCACCCGTTCGCCAGCTGCACCATCCGCATGTCGGTTGGAGTGATACGCCCATAGAAAATACTCACCGAAACAGTTTTCATGTGACATGGCGACACTGCAGCAGTGAACCGCCGCTTGGTCGCGAGCACCGATGCGCGGGTGTCACGTCACCCCTTTATTCAAGGGCGCTTTACCAGCACCACTTGTAGTGTCTTGATTTGATTCCGACATGGCTACGTCTGGATTCCTGCGCTGCTTCTAAAATCCGAGCCATTGCAGGATGTTTCACTGCAATTCTGAAAGTTCCATCAGATCATGTCAAATGTGATGGTCATGGTTTGGTGGTGACAATATGTGCAACATCCTTGGGCTCACATTGAGTCGGGGGATCTGTTGCAAGACCTGGTGCACAGAAGCACGTGAGATGTGAATTGAGCAAGTCGAGCAGGCAAGCCTTCTTAACGCCCACGCACAATGCAAAGCATGCACTAGCACCATCTGGCACCCAGTGAGTGTGTTGCGACCGAATACCAAGGCCCCACCGATATCAAAAGCCAAAGCCATCTTAAAGCCAGAACCAGAGTTCTTCTGGCCTTCTCCTTTGTCTTGCTGTCGATTTCTGCCGTCTTTGCCTAGCCACGAGTTTCACCCTTTCATAGTTACTCATACTTCTACCCCCTCAACTTGGGCCTTGATGTTTTCGGCCGTTTCAGCCACAAAGCTCTCGTACCTGTAACAAATTGAAATCTGAGATTTGTAGGAACGCCATTCTTGCTAGGGGCTCTGGAACATCGAAGCCGTTCACCCCCTTAATGATCCTGAGTCCAGGACGCAGATTGCGCTTCTTGCTCAGCCTGAACAGCTTCAGCCTGGCAACTCAGACTGCACCACATTGCACCGCATACACCAGATTCTGAGTTGCATTGAAATGCAATTCTGCTACTGAGGAGACTGTCGCAAACGGGATGGCCGTGCTCTTGCACGACAGACACAACAAGCCAGCACAGTGCTCAAAGCAAGTCTTGCAGCCTCAAGCTTTGCGGAATCTGCGATGATGGTCTCAATCAGCCCCATGGCCTAGAACGCAAGCAAGAGACCCTTTTGGCCTCAGAATTTCAGAGCTGAGGGCAAGGCACCCGCTCCTCCGGCATTCTTCTTGTAATCCTGCGCTTGCCAGGTTTTTGCCGGCATCTGCTGGCTGCACCCCAAACCGCAAGTGTGTGGCCAAGGTTGCCGGCTGCAACATGCTTGCACTGCCCAAAAACCAGAGCACCCGAACCGAGCGCCGTGAAACAGGAACAGTGCATTCAGAGGGATTTGACACAACAAATCTCTTGTGCTTGGTCCACTCTTGCAAACATCACGCGTAGAAGCTCGCAACGGCTGCAAACTTTCTGCTCTGCAATAAGGCTGTAAGAGTCTTCTAAACGAGCTGGTCAATGCCTATCTTTCCGAAATGCATGCTTTCTGCGCTAGTGTCACTTTCTGCTGCTTTCCAGTACACTGGTCAGCTCCCTTCCTGGTCGCATTAGCCGAGACTCTGTACCCGCGCTTTTCGAGAAGCCGGACAGCGAGGCAATGGGAAAGCGGGTTACGGCCAAGAACAAGATCAAGCACGTCGCATCACTGGCCTGGAAGCCTTCAGGGCCGCCAACATCTTCCGGTTGCACCTGACATCGCGTCGGCATGGCAACAAATGGCTAAGCATGATTCATGATCCAATACGTAAACTGCTCCCCCGCTATCTAGGCGAATGTCGTCAACAATGTGGCTTCTGCTAGACAACACTGTCTAAGCCGCTGGAAAGCTTGCAAAGGCTACCTCGTCAGCTCTGTGAGCTGTGATTTGGGCAAGCGAAGCCCTGGCCAACATCACTCTCTGCACGATAACAAGGTCAACCACGCATCCGCGCATCCGCCTCTCCGAACTTCTGTAGAAGTCTTCCAAGAACTGAAAGCAAATGAAGGAAAAGGCAGTGGTTGTGGACTGGGCGACTTGCCTTGACTGCCTTCTTGAGGACAACCTGCGTTTGTCGCCTGAATCTCGGGCTGCTGGAGCCAGTGCTGCAACGCAATGCAGCAAGCCACGGGCTGGTCGTCAGCTTCAGTTTGAAACCTGGAGCTCATGCTTGCTCAGAACATCGCACCTTCACAGAAAAACAAAATTCCCTGTTTCTTGAGAAGATGACTTCACGTTCTCCTTCCTGAGCTGGCAGCACACAAGTTTAAATTGATTTGAAAGGCGACCAGATCGTTGTGACACCACTACCAACCCATGGCTCGGTGCCGCATAGACTCTGGCGGGATTGCCCGGCAATTTGCACTTGCTTCTGCATCTCTGCAATCTGCACAACACAGCGTCGGCACCAAGAGTAGTTTACAGTCATCTGTTTGTATTCGCCTCTGCATTCAAGCTGGCAATCTGCGCTTCACACTCGCTTACCTTTTTCTTCAAGGCCTTAATGCGTGCGGAATGGGCCGCATGCTGTACCTACAGCATCAGCTGAACAGGAAACAGGACCGGACGGTGATCTTGTCCTCTGCTCGGGTCTTCACGCCTGAGGAAAAGAGCTTTGAGCTCGGCTGTCGGCTCATGCGAAGTTTTGGAGCCCGGCCCTGCTTTTCCTCCGTGTTGATCTTGTTTTGGTCGAGATCATCCACACACATCTCCTTGTGCCTCGGGCATGACATCAACACCGACGATGCCATCGTCTACCATTCACTGACATGCGGGCAAACGCGGACAAGACCCTGAGGCCCAGGGCTTGATCTCGTCTTCCTGCTCCTTCTTCAACGCAGTAATCCTGAACCAAACTCATACAAAGGCATGACCATACCTGGTGCAGGATTCCAAGGACGGGGCATTTCCTCGATGGCAGCCTTGACCTTCGTGAAGGAATCGATCCTGGCCAATGATTATTCGTTCATAGGAAATGACCAAACTCCTGCGCCGTTGAAATCATTCCCAGGTCACTCGAAACATCTGGAGCAGGCCGCGCAAGGTACACTCGTCTGTCCAACTCCAACAAATTGTCAGGCTTTTTCTTAGCCCTGGCATCCTCCATATTGACAGAGTTACAGAAATTTGAGGGACCGCCAAATTTGGTTCGGGATTCGCCCGAAGCTTGAAGCAAGTGAAGCTAGGAGCTTCGGAGCTTCGCGCTTCAAAACTGAAGCTCGTCTGAACCACCCCTGGCGCGCAATCGGAACTGTAGCTCCTTGAACAAATCTACACGCGGCTCAGTCGGAAAAGCAAGGGCCAGCTTGGGCGAAGTTTGCCACAGCTTTGACAGTGAGAGCCGGGTAAGCAATCTGGATCCTCACTTCCTTCCTGCAAGTTTTGGCAATACGTTTACCCCCAATCATTGTGCGGTTAACTGGCTTTTGCTGACGTGTGTGGGAGCCTTGCTTTTTGGTCCATCCCCTTGATGCAGGAAGCGTGGACAAGCGTGGCCACTGTAGACTGCACAGTGCTGTACAACTGTGGTTGCGGATGAGGCTGGAAATTGCTTGGAACCAGGTTGGAGCCCAACACGTCTGGGTCTGTACCTGATGTCAGGTTACCTGTGCAGCGTGCACAGAGGAAATTAAGACACTGTATCTCTAGAAAACACGAGGTCACATTGAGGCATCTCATGCACCATTGCCACGGTGCTGCCTGCTTCTCGGCGCTGCGCTGAACACTTCTGATCGTATTAGAAATGCAGGGAGAAAACGTCAGTGCTGCTGCCCAGCAACTCATTCTTTCATTCATATACCTCGTCCAGGAAGATAATATTTTCCTGGCCTGGCTTGCCTATATTACATGCCAACATCAACTGCAGATCTTGCCTCACAGCAGCCCAAGATGGCACAGCTAAAATTCGTGTTGTAGTTTAGACATGATCAGGCTGTCCACCCCGGCTTTGACGGAAAGAAATATTATTCCTCTGCATGGCCCCATGTTGAGGGCAGTGGCCTTGTGCTTGCTCAGGACGCGCTGCGCTTGGCAGAATCGCTCTTGCGCAGGCGTCTCTGTATGCCTACCGCCTTTGCGTTCTGCTTATCATAAGCTTCACCACATCCTTGCAAAGAAGCGATCGCAAACATGCTTTTCTTTCGGGGAAGTGTGCGCTGTGCTCGTGCGCTCACACTTGATGCCAGACAAGTGGACCTCGCCTGCTCTGGAGTCCCACCGTGATCAGCCTCTGAACACCAAGCCTCAAAAGTATCGACATAAGGTGGTTGTCTCTGCATTCTCGAGATGAAGGCACGGCACCGGCGCCCCTGCTCCAGCAAGAAGGCCTTGCTCCCCGTACAGGCCAATCAAATTCGTGCTGGAGGGCTCCAGGCTTCAACCAAGCTTCACCGGCTTTTGCTGCGGATCGTTCTACCCTGCGCGCATGTGCTGACCTTCAGTTCTGCAAGGGGTCCTGCATGCCAAGAATGAACTCAAATGCAGCATCAAGCACTTCTGGGGGCGTGGCTGCTGCAGGAAAGAAACCGTCTTGCCAAAGAGATCGCGAGACTCCTCACCTTGGTCATCAGACTCCTTGATCACCAAGCAAAACGCTCACTTGGAGGCGTGTTCTCTGCTCTGCTGGGGCATCCACTGCGAAGCACCTTGCTTATTGCACAGGCATAGTGTGTGCACTTGCATATGGACATGATCAGCGTGGTCTAAGTGGGTCCTGGGTTCACAACTTTCTTTGCCTATCTAGCCATTCAGAATTGAATTCCCAATTCGGCCGAAAGCGAACGCACGCACCTTTGCCTGCCGTTCGAACCATCAATGCTGACAAAGTACCACGCAACTTTAGCCCACCAGAATAAGCCGCACTCATTGACATCAGCATAAATGAAAACGCGTGATGTGCCAGTAATATGCTTGCCTGGATGGTCTTGGACACCGCTGTCATCTCCTGCATTCGACTCTGCATGCCTGGCTGCGAGGGATTGCATCGAGCTCGCAGCTGCGGGAACTCGCGACCAAGACGGTTGAGCCCCGCGACGTTCTTTGAACTTGTCATCGCTCCTGGCAGTAGTTGCAGAAAGACCTTCTCCAGTCGGTAGCACGGACGAGAAGTGCGGAGGCTTTACTTCGTGCATCTGTTCTCCACGGCAGCCTGAAACCTAAGACTCATGCATCCTCGATTCTGCTTTCTTAACTCTGGAACGCCATTCGACCGAGACCAGCACTTGACGTCTGCAGCAATAGCCTTGGTGGTCGTCTTGATGTCCTGCTTTGATGTCTCCTGACATGATTCCAAAAGATCACGTCAGCTGCATTGCACCTCTGCACAGATACAGCAGTGGAATAGAAGTGCTGAGATCCAATGTCGGTCCAGCAAGCTCTCTGCGTCAGACTTCTCCTTCCAGGTCACAAACGCTTGTCATAGTCATAGTCGACAGAAAGAGCAACATGATATCTTATGTCACTTATATCATCTCTCCAAAATGCCAGACAGCAGGCCTGAACAGGCATGTCAATGCTCGAAGGACAATACAAAGCAGCAAGCTGACTCCAGCAGCGCTAAAGAGATATGCTCACGTCGATCAACGTCCAGGCACCCCGAGAACGTTTCAACAGCGGGCTGTGCGGCTGTTCTCTGAAAACTTCTGTCTTGTTACAAGTAGGTGCTTGTTTGGCTGACTATATATTATTTGGAGCTTCCTGAGCACGTGTTCCGCGGCCCTGCAAACCCAGGGTAGCACTGGGGTTGTTTGCAGCCATCAGCCGCACGCCAAGTGAGGAGACATTGCGGACCAGAGCTGACATCGACACCCACCACATGGAGAGCTTTGGGTCAGAAGCTGTGATGTCATCCCTTCCTGAGTCTTTTTCACAATCTGCTCTTTCAACACTTTCTTCTCGGAAGTCTTGGCAGCAATGAGCGCCTGACCAACACGCTGCAATCTTCATTTACAAGCTGAAACTGCATACGCCAGGTGCCTTATACGACCTATCATTCTCCTTTTCCTCAGTCACCTCTTTCTGCAGGTCTTCCTGATGTCAGTTGCAGCCTTTCAAGACACAGCCTGATGTGCCGGTGTAGTCCAAACGCTGCAGGCAGCGCGTTGAAGTCATCCAGCATGGTCTTGAGAATGCCAACAATAGAGCTGGACCTGTATTGCTGGCTTCCTTCCTTGCGATCAGATCCTCCGAATAAGGTCCAAGCGTGCTGGTCGGATCGTCTCGCTGGAGGAAAGCATTGCCCTGTCCAACTCCATGCATCAGGCATCCTCAAACTTTCCACATGCCAAGCGGCTTTCCTTCGTATCCGCTATTTAAATAAAAACCAGCACAAGATGTGTCAGCGGCAGCAATGTGCACCTTCACCACCTTGAACGGATCTCTGATAAAATCATCAATGGCGACTCTGTCGGCACCTCGATCACACATTTAGTGTCTAAGGGAGGGACGCACAGAGATGAGCTTAGGCACTAGCTGGACAACTTGCTGTATACCAGCGCTCCGCGGTTTTCCATCACCTCCGCCAGATGTTCCGAACTTGCAAAGGGCAGCTGTATTTGGCCCTTAGTTAGTTCCACAGCCAAAGCTGTGAAGATCCATAATCTATTCTTGCCTTGGATCGTACGTACTTTGTGCCCGCAATCGCTTACTTTGTTTTGCGCATTGCAAGCCTTGATGATGGAGCCTTTACTGCATGCTAACCAGGCTAAGGGCGAGGGGATTTCCATCAGGCAGCAAACACAAAAACCCTTCCAGCCTGACGCAAGCCGGTGGTTAAGGCCTTCCTTGCGATCCCAACGTAATACGAACTTGCTTCTGCAAAGGAAAGCACCAGTCTTCTAGATTTCAGCTAAGCCTGAGGCAATTCGGCTGGTGGCATCTGTAGAAGTGAAGATCCTCAGGACTGCAATGGGAACTCTGTGCCATCAACCTGGTAGACACCGTTTTCCGTGTTTCAGACCGGCGTTGGCGGCATAGGCTGCCTTCATCTCTGCGGATGCACTGCCTCATGTCAAGTCAGATAAGCAAGAGCACAGCATGAGGCGACGGTACCGACCGCCCAATTGATAAGCGCGAAGCTGTTCAGGGCTGTGATTGCCTTTGAGGCCTGCACAGACAGTCACGACAAACTGTGACAAAAATTAGCCAGACTTACTCTTTGTTCTCTCTGCCTCTGTTTTAGTGACCTGCATGACCGTTTAGAAAACAAGCAACGCTTGCGGTAGCTTAGGTTTTCCAAGCTTTTACTTACGACACAGCTTTGTTGTTGCTTTTGCTTACGCCACCTTGCAAATCCCCACCACCAGCTGCCACCACCCCCACCATCCCCACCACCACCGACCACCACCACCGCCACCGCCACCGCCACCGCCACCGCCGCCGCCGCCGCCACCGCCGCCGCCGCCCCCGCCACCGCCACCACCACCACCACCACCACCACCACCACCACCACAGCCACAGCCATAGCCACAGCCACAGCAGCAACAAAAACAGCTTACGACGCTTACCGCAACAACGTTGGCCAAAATTGCTGACGAAAGCTTGCGAGAATCAGCGCTTTGCTTATGCCAAACCTTGTTTCCGGAAGGCCTAGTCTTACCTAAGTAGGGAAGTTTTTGATCTCCGATCAATTGAACATCACAGTTACCATTCATCTGTGCATCGCATAGTTTTGAGGCGCGTAGGTCTGCAGTGCGCATGGTTGTCAAAAGAACCTCGTCCCACCCTTCCCTGCCCAGCGACACGCAAAGGTCTCTTGGCACACAATGGCACACATTACCAAGGTATTGTGGCTTTGCGCGTCTCTTATGGGGGCCAACAACGGGACCAGTCGCCAAATCAAGGCTTTCTTGTACCGGGAAAGGGACACGCATGTTGGCGCTGGACTCCAACGCAATGGTTGCGTCGAAATACTGGCATGGCTGAGGCCTAAAATGTGTATGGACGATTGTGGAGATGTAATGACCGTTGGTTGTGACACACCTGTGCAAGTTGTACCAGACCATGATGTCTTTGGTGGTGAGAAGGTGGATGATCAGGAGCAGGCAGATGCTGTTTGATGCTGCTTCGCGTGATGTTTGGCGTGGGTTCTGGAAAAACCGAAGGGCTTGCAATTCCGACGACTTGGCGGAACTAGTAACGCGGGAAGTTGTGAAGATCTTGTCCATGTTGATTAAAACGAACTCTCTCGCTTTGATGTGGCTTGAAATCAGGGGAGCTGCATGTGAAAAGTTTCTTCATTTAGCGGGCGATGCCATCCTCTAGGTGGTGAGTGGTGAGGGGCGTCTCTCTTTATCTTTTAGCAATTGTGCAAAGCCCGAAGGTCCGACGGAGGCTACTGTCAAATCCCGATTAGTGTGAGGGGCCTTAATTGAGCCGTTAAAAAAATAGGTCACTAAATCTAATGGAAATAAGGAAGCTTCCGCCCGCGAGCTTCCGCAGACCTTCCGCGAAACCTCCGCGAAGACTACTGG